GCCCAGGGTCCTAAGAGGCTGTACCAGCAGTCAGAGATTCCCCAGGCCATACCTTTTTGGCCCAGCCATTCCTCCTGCCTGAGCAGCTAGGATGAGAGTGCAGGTAGCCCAACAGCAGCCCTAAGCTGTCTAAGGTTTTCCTTACAAAGTGATAATCCTCCAGTGTCCAGTTAAGCAGAATAAAGCAGATTTAACATACTGGATTTATTTTGTTTTTAATTCCATAAACCTGTGGGAATTTTTTAGTGGGCATTTTTAGATAGACGTTTGGGGATAAGTTTGAGGTGGGGGAAATAACATCAACACTGATTTTCACAGTCTTTCCCTCTGCTTCTCCCTCCCTTCCCAAGAGCACAATTTATTTTGTTTTTAATTCAATAAAACCTAGTGTTAGAAAGGAATTATTTCAATGAACCCCAAAAGGATCTCCCTCTCAAAACACTTGTGAGGAGAAAACCATTTGAACATTCTGCTCATGACTTTCCTAGTCTGGCATTCACCCTGCTTAGGAGATACATTCTGTATCCCACAGGAACTGCTGACTGATGCACAATAAATATAGCTTGAGACACAGGACCAAATTCAAATCCATCATAAGCAAGTGCAATTCCCCTTGAAGTCAATTAGAGTTGTGCCAGCTTATGCCAGGATAGAATTTGACCATCAGACAGAAAGACTTTTATTCATACGTGTTTCCATCTGTAAAATAAAATCCTCTTCTATGGTGTATTTCTTATTAAACAAATCAAAAGCTATTTCAAAGCATGTTATTTATTAAGGAGGGGAAAGTAGAATATAATGTAGAACTGGATGGTATTCAGAGTTGAAGGTCCTTGTATTCTGGAACTATTCAGACTCCAATTATGGATATTATCCAGACCCGATAAATGATAGCAAAACTTTCATCTGAAATGTGTGGTAAAGTTTGAGAAGCTGATTAAATGTCTAGCAGGAAGAACAAGGCTCATATACATGAGAAATCCCTCCATCCATATATTTATACTTCACTTCTCACTAGAGAAGGACAGAAATTCCATTTTCCAAAAGATTTGGCTTCATTACATATAGGAAAGGGAAACAATTATTTCAAAATTCACCACGAAGGAATTTTTTAAAAATGTTTTGCGTAGATTTTGAGGGTTTTTTTAAATTTTGTACTATACAATATATAACATCCTAAAATATGATACAAATGAAGCAAAAATATTTCATTCCCAAATATTGAAATAGGACATTTTGACATTGTTGCACCTTCCCCTCCCTCCTGCCCAGTTTTCTTCTACAACAAAATATTGACCCAATATCATGAAGCATTCCATTGTAATATGGCTCCAGCAAAATTTCTCCAAGTTCTACTCATCATCATAGTATCTACTCATCATCATGCCTAGTTTGAACAAGAAATGTTTTCTATGTATTTTTTCATGATGATCAGTTGGATTTTGTGATGGTGTTGTACTGTAATTTCTAGCTTATTCACATAGTCAATGACTGTTGTGTTGCTTCTGGCTGCCACCTCACCGGGTGCTGTGAGTTCTAACATCCAAATGAAACCAACTCTATTCACTGGCAAGGTGTACCTGGTGTCATAGGTATAACCTGATGAGATGCAAATCCACTTAATCATTGACAAAGAACTTAGAGCTTGCTGAATTACTTTATTCAATTAGGTGGTATTCTGGCATTAAAAAATACTGTCTTCTTCTTCTTCCTCCTTTCTGGTCATCTTTTCCCTGAAAAGTTAGTCGGAGCAAGTCTTCTGTCACTTCGATGGAGCAATGCCAATTTACATCAATTGACTGTCTGGCCTTCTGTGTGTTTACTTTAGTCAGCCCTGGTAAAGTGCAAGTGATAAGATTTAAAAAGCTTTTTGATTATAAAAGGGTTAGATCTTAATTTAGATCTTAAGGTGCTGCTCATATTTTTTTCCCAATTTATGAGCAAAAAACCTAGATGGCCTGGTGATCATCTGTGGCCTTAAATTCTATGGCTCTATGATGCTAATTCTCCATGAATTTTCCATGACTTCTCACCATATACATTTGGAAGCCTAGAATTCAGCAAACATAAAGTGCTAAAAGATCAGATGCCCTGCAACGCGTTGAAACCATCTGGTAATTGAGCAAAATTTCAGATTCAGAGAACTGCATAAATGCCTTAAATGTATTCTGCATACTTTATATAATATTTACTAATGAAAAGGGAATTTCCATTAGCATGCAGAGCACAGCGAGAGAGCTGCCTTCATCTGGCTGGGAGAACAGTGGTGAAATCATCTTGTTTGATATTCCTGATACATATATATTTTATAGCTTGTTGGAAAGGTAAATTTTATCAAAAAAAGGAAAACTGAAAAATGTCAGAAAACAAAAATTGTTCTGGTTTATTTTTCTTACTGAAACTCAATATTTTCTGTGGAATGCAGTCATGTTTCATGAAGAAAATTTGTTTTGTCAAAAACCCATTATTCTGTTGAAAAACAATTTGAACAAAAAATTTCAACCAGCCCCAATGTACACACTTCGTACATGGAAAAAGTGTTTCCACATTGTCTGTTTTAAATTGACTATAGACTCTCTCAGTTATATGGCTTAAAGTAGAGTAAATGTGGATTTTCACATGCAAAAATAGGAGAATATAGCTAGGGTATTTTCTTGAGATTTAAAGTGCTACTAAAGACACCCTACCAATACTTCTGTGCCACTGAGGCCTTGAGATAGCGTATTGAAAAATTGTGGCATGCATCTGAAACAAGATCCTGTAAAATCATTGGCCTGAAATGTTAGATAAATGATATAGGTACATTTTTACACATTTGGATAGTAAGATTTTCCTTGCATCAACCACAGTATGTATTTTCATGAAAAAATGGAACAAAAATGCATGTATTTCAGTATTGTTAAAGATCATTTATTTCTAATAGTGGAGTGGTGACTCAAAAGTTCTTTATCTTCCACCCCTTTGTATCGCTAAAAGTCCTCTATTATTGTAAGAATGTATAACTGTCAAATAAAAGCCTGAAGAACACTGATTTTATCTCGACTAAACAGAAATGCTGGCTTTCCACGGCATACCTGCTCCTTCAGGATGAGGTCTTCAAATTGCAACCAAAGGCTATTTACTCAGGGATGCATTTCAAAGGAAGGCACATGCATTTGACGGAAAAATTTGGTCCAGTCCTCCATACTGAGTGTAGTCACATAGAGCTACCTATATGAGTAAAGGCAGCAGGATTGAGCCCTAAGATTATTCCATTAGCAACAACATAGCTTGTCAAAGGGAAGTGTACAATGTATGACAAAATAAAGTATTTTTGCTAATAAACAACCAAGTTTTTGGAACTATTACTTAATGAAACACACTTTCATTTTCTAAGGCCTTTAATCTAAATTTTAACTAGCAACTAAAGAAAAAAAAATGTCAAAAGAAATTCAGTAGTCCCAAAAAACTGACCTACTTGATATTGAAAATATTCCCCAAGTATCTCTAAACATTAAAAACTAAATATCTGAATTTAGGCTGATCAGATGAGGCTTTTCTATCCTCCGTTCATTATGCAAGGCCATTTCAATTACAGGTATGCCTCTTGCGGTTTACCACCTTTTCAAAATGTAATGTAGATCAATTAGCTGCTCCCCAAAGTTTTAACAAGGGCTGCTGTAGTATGAGACTGCTTAGCTTGCTGCAGACTTCAAGATTATAGATGATCTGAGATGTAATTTGATTGCTTACAATCTGGCAAATAATTGCCTTGATTGCTTACAATCTGGCAAATAATTTATTGTGGCTACCTTTAAAAAATCAAATCTTCCCCCCAGCTCCTAATAAAATATAATAATCAGAAAATATTGTTTGCCTTCTTATCTGCTTCAGACTCAGACTCCACTGATTATAAAATAACTGGTGTATTATATTAGCTTTAAAAATATAATTTCTTTGTTTTGCTTTGCCACTCCTGTATAAGTGGACATTGAGACATGCCTGTGTACTTCAGCTTTTAATACAGACAGCACCCCTAACAGCCCCAAAAGTCGAGACTTCAAGTTCAGTTTGGATGAGTCTACAAACAGTTGGACACTTATCAGTCTACAAAACTAAGCAGGAAATCTCATGAGAAAATGTATTTCCCTCCCTGGATTTCTGTCATTTCTGTGCAGCAATTTATTCAGTCTTATCCAGAAATACCTTAAGAACAGTCTTTCTTTTACACTATTTTGGCACTTGAATTTCCAGTCCCACCAAGAAAATGAAAATGAAAGGTGAAAAATATTCAGTCAAACATTGCAAAAGCCTAGTAAAGTTTTGGTTTGAATTCAATTTGAAAAAATCAGTAGGGATTTGGGTTGTAGGAATCTTATCTTTCAAACCTGGCTCTCCTAATCATGGTGTCTGTCTTGATATATTTCATCTCATATTACTCTGGGGTAAGCCAAACTAAAACCGGTTATTGCTGCGGCTCTTCATCTTCTGCTCTCTTACAATTTGGTACTGAGTCCTAAAAGGGGATTTAAACAGAGTGCTGGTGTTGAGTGTCTGTCACTCTGATTTAACAATTGTTTTCCCTAAGCATTGTTAGAGTGGAAAAAGTGTCAAGTGCTTTTGCATTTCATTAGTAGGGACAACACACAGAGGATGCTATATATTGGAGACATTTGTTTAATCAGTGTCTTGTCTCTCAGAAAACAGGTGTTTATGGAAAACTGTAATTCTGGAAGTCCCCAGTATGCAGTCTTGATGATAAGGAAAATCTTTGTAGCAAGGTCCTGACTCATATTAAAATATTGTAAAGTATGGATGCTTTTAGCTTGCTCCACAGTATGAGTCCTAAAATATTTCATTTGAGAGAAATCAAGCTAATGGGCCAGTAGTTTCATGGGTTGAATTTGGCTGCAGCCAAGTAGAAAATTAAAATAAGCTAAGCTTAAAGATTGTGCTGAGGTCAGGCAATATTTGGGTCAAGTTGAAATTTCAACACATTTACTATTTAATTTTTATTTCAGGTCATTCAGACTATCAGTGCCACTGACAAAGATAACTCTGCAAATGGGCCAAGATTCCATTATTCTCTTGATGAAGGCCTTTCTTTGAATCCCAACTTTACCCTAAGGGACAATGAAGGTAAATCAAAGACATTAATCTATAAGAAGTGGGACTCTGTTTTGTCTGGGATGTCTCATTGAACAAAGCAATTGTGCTCTGTTTCTACACAATTCTTCTCAGCAGGTGAAAACTATAATCTATCAATGTTCTACTGGCTGATTCCAAGGACACCGTATTTGTACACATTGCATTGTGAACTATGAATAACCAGGACTATGTTTCAAAAATAGTCTTTTAGAAAATGCTATTCCATTTTTATATTCTGTTCTATTTTATACCCAGCATATACGCTTTATAGTCTTTTAATCCACTCATGTTTTTTTTAAAAAATATGAGTTTGAGAAATGTGTTTGCAGTCTCAGTGCATTTCCTAGTTGATTATGATAAAGCCACCACCACTACACCAGTATGAATTGTCACTATGGCTGGCATTCTTACAAGAGAAACCAAGGACTGAAGGAAAATGAACTCCCTCTCAGTCCTAGAGGTCTGTATACCAAAGGAGGGCCTCCGGCGCTGCCCTGGGAATTATATGACTGCAGTATTCCGCTACAGAGCTGTGACTAAATGGTGCACTCTAGCCCTTTGCCAACTTGGAGCTTTCATTCTGTTCAGATCATGATGGAGCATTGTATTCAGGGATGGGAGATCTACCCCTGAAATGAATGCAGAGTGTACTTGTGTGCCTTTATATTTTGAACGTTGAAGGGAGATTCAAATAAATTCACCAAGTGTTTGAATGTTTTCACGTTTGGGATCACAGCTGCACTCATTTCAATGCACAGAGCTTTAGATATTTGCATATTCTTGAATGGATATATTTAGATCTCTGGATCTTGATATATTATTAAACCTTTGGAGCATTTGAACAAATTGTATGCTCTAAACCATACACTTATCTGGCCACCAGCAAAATATCAATGTTCTAAGGATTAAAGGCCATAATGTGACTTGGACTACATATTCACACATACAGATGTGAGGGAGAGTAAGAATTTCCCTTACTTCCATGTGCAAGCTATCCAGACTTTGGGTGCAGTTGAACTGGAGTAAGCGGTTGCTGCTGGCCTACTATACCCCTTGGAGCATATGAGTGTGAAATATGAACACCTGGAGTGGAGCATTGGCTCCACCACTGCCAACTACAGCTGATATATGGAGTGTCATAATTTGCTTTTGGTATAGGACAACAGCAAATGACTACCCCTCTAGAGCAGGGGAAAGTAGAGGGGGAAATTGTGCCTCCAAAGTCTGTCCATGAAGCACAATGCCTCCTTGGTTTGTGCAATTTATATAGCACCCCTTATTCAGAGCTGTGCTGTTAGGCACAATCTAGCCCTGAAATATCAGTGGAAAACATATACAGTGTATGTGTAATATGCAGTTTTAAAACACTTGAAACTTTGGTGTTTCTAAACCATTTTTTTTCAGACTTGGCTGAAGACACACCCCATGCACATGACAACTTTGAACTTTTCAAACAAAATCATTTCTAAGCTATGCATGCCCAAAAGAAAGATCAGAACAATTTAATAAATTGGTTTTGTTTTAGGACTGGATACATTTATAATGGCTGAATATTTGGGGATTGTTTAGCTTACAAAAAAGAAAAAAAGTCAGTGTTGGGCTGAGAACAAGCTTGAGGAAAATCAATTCTGCAAAATTCAGCTCTGGATTTAAGGCCCAATAAACTACTGCATTAATTCCATTTTACACAATTTGACATCAGTGGGACTACACTGATTTAAAACTGAAGCTATACAGTGGTGCTTCAGCCCACCCTGGATTTTAATCTCTCCTTTCAAAACTCTGGGTGTTTGGAGTCAGGATTTTGGCACAGAGATAAGGAGGAGCTCTTGAAATTTAAAAGTGGAGTTGGGTTTGGATTCCTAAATCTAGAAGGGGATCCAGGTGCTGATACTCCTGCTTATGTTGAGTAATATCATACTTCTCAAGTAGATTCATTGAAGTTGATTGAGTGTCCTCATGAAATAAGTACTATTCAGTGTGAACAAGGGTATCAGAATCAGGCCCAGAGGGATCAGAGAATACTACCATCAGCAAAATTATACAGTATGTACATACAAATACAACAAAGAAAAACAAAAAATTGCTACACTGAAGAAAATCACATACATTTTTAGTTAATCATTTAATCCTGCAATTCTAGAAAGGAAGACCAATGAAAAATGCCTTTTCAATTATTTGGGAGTTGGTCCTGCATAGGGCTATTTGAAAGTTTTCTGCTGCAAATGTTTTTTGATTGAAAACTAGGTTTTCAAGAAAATGATTTTTTTTCTTTTTGCAAAATATACTACTTTCTGAGGAAAAGTTTGACTTTTTGTCCAAAAAATTGAATTACCCCCCGCACTTACCCCCCCCTCCCCCCGCCCAAAAAAGATTTTGTTTTTTGGTAGAAAATGGAAAATATTCAATTTGGAAGACCTATTGTGGTGCCTCATGGGACTTGTAGTTTGGTTCCCTCATGCCCACATTCTACTCTATGACTTCAGGGTCCCCAACCAGAGTGCATGACTCAAAATGCACACAACCAGGGACTCCTGTTCTTCATACGCAGGCTCAGCAAGAGAGGAGACAAAAGTACATCATGGTAGATATAGTCCAGCCTGGGAGCCTGGCTGATGGAGAAGGGGGAGCCCATGAGTTGCAACTCCCATGAAGCTGTGCAGTGGCATTTCTGAGTCAAAAAATTTGGGTTTCATCTGAAAGTTTTCAGGTGAAAATTTTTGGTTTATAAACTTTTGCCAAAAAGTCAAAATTTTCTGTGGGGAAAAAAAAAATTCTGAGCTGCTCTAGTCTTCTTTAGTCTTCCCACTTTGTTCTGTATAATGTTGCTAGCACTGGGCATTATGGAATCTATTTGAAAAAATAATCTCCTTAGTTTTTTGTTTGTTTGTTTTTTAATTTATCAGTAATGTCTTAACTTGGCAGTTATTACTTAGTCTAGCATAGTTACTATCATTTTTTTGCAATACAGTTGCCTGTTCACCCAGTTCAAAATCTGTTCGTTTAGTCTGCCAGTGTGAATCTGCTCTTTATTATGAATTCTGTGCCCACCCAAATGGTCTCTTTTCCCACTAATGTGTTGTTGATTAGCATGCTTAATTCCTTTTATATTTTTTTTAACCTTATCCTTTCCTCATGAATTCTAGCATAAAGAGAACCTTTCATATGGATCTTCCCAATCTATATGTAAGGTGGTCAGCCAGATACCCTGATTTCTCTGTGCCTCAATTCCTTCATGGATTTCGGGATCTGTGCCTGGGAAGGGAAAGGGGTCAGTGACAAGAAGGACATGCCCTGCTTCCCAAAGACAGCAGTAGAAAAGACAGCAGCATGAATGCATTCTACATAAACTGTTCCTCGAGTCTTTTCCTGCTGGGGAAGGCCCCTTACAGGAGTTTTCACAGTTAGAGACACCCAAGGAAGTCTTTGCTGCAGGACCACACTGTCAGGGAGCCAAAAGGAGGGGAGATGAACCTCTTCAGAATGCAGACCTGGTTGACATCACTGGGTCTGACAATGAGGGTGGATTTACTGTCCTTAAGACTGAAATTGGCAGTTTTATAATCATTTTTTGCAATCTCTACAGGCCAAACCTGGATGATCCCAATTTTTTTCATAAATGTGTTATGAGTATAAATGCCATGGGGCCACCATAGTATTATTATAGCTGGAGATTTTAACAAAATTCTAGATCCAATCCTTGATAAATGTTCTCCATTTCGATATAAAAAACATACATGGCTGACTTAGGATGACAAAATGTGTGGAGATTGGGTATTCCTACAGCCAGAGCCTATAGGTTTTGAGTGTTTTTTTTTTGTTTTGTTTTGTTTCCTGCAGCTCATTCAACACATGTAAGATTGGACTATTTCTTACTTTCACAAAACTTGACCAATTCTGTCACTGATTGTGGCACTGATACTATTACTGTATCTGACCATGTTTTTTAGGTCCCCATGGTATGTACCCCCCAACTAAAATGTGGAGATTAAACACATCTCTGCTGTTTGATACATCATTTGTTAACTGTATCCAGCAGGAGTTAGAATTTTTTTTAATACAAATGCCCCACTGCTTCATCAGCTGCCACACTTTGGGAAGCCTTTAAAGCCTTCATCAGAGGCCATATCATCTCTTACGCCTCCTTTAAAAAGAAATTAAGATAACATAGAATTGATGCCCTTTCAAAGGAAATTAAGGCCTTGGATGTAGACTGCATCTGCCCCCTTCCCAGAGCAACTCAGAACTCTCATTCATCTAAAATACGAAATCAACAAATTTCTGTCCCAAAAGGCTGAGTTTGCTTTCTTCTGTTTGAAGCAAAACTGCTGGGAATCTGGCAAGAAAGCTAGCAAGCTATTGGCATATAGATTTAAGCAAAAGGCTAACAAAATTAAGATGGCTGTTATTCATGATAGTAGCAATAAATTATATAAAACACAGTCAGATATTAATGAAGAATTTCAACAGTTTTATTCAAAACTACATTTAGCTGAAGACAGAATCAGCAAAGCTGCCCTAGCTGGCTTTTCTAGTGTATTGTCTCTTCCACGTATCTCTAATTATCAGAAGCAACTTTTAGCTGCTCCTTTAGAAATAACTGAACTAATGCCAGCTGTAAAAGAAATGAAGGTTGCAAAGATTCCTGGTGCCGCTGGGTTCCCAACTGAATTTTACAAAAAAAGTTCTGTGTAACTTTAACACTCAGATTATTGAACATGTTCAATGAGGCCAAGAATGAGCAAACTCTCCTGCCTACTCTAAGAGATGTTGTAATTTCAGATATTTCTAAACCTGGGAAAGACCTTTGGTCTATGTAGAAATCACAGGCCAATTTCTTTAATAAATTGTGATGCTAAGATTTCAGTCAAAGCTCTTGCTATGCGATTGGACGAAGTTCTCTCACACGTTATACACATAAATCAGGTAGGCTTCCTTCATAATAGACATGGCTCAGATAATTTGTGTCATCTGATTGATATTATTGCTGC